CACATACACACGCATACTACACGGGTTAAATGCTTTTTTAGCCTATTAGATGATGATACTCGTACTCGGCCAAATGCCCCGATACTTACCTCCAATACTGGAACTTCTGGTCAGAGGGAGATTTCCTTCTGACCGGCATCGCAGAGGGAGCATGGAGCCAGCTTCCTTTCCATTCAGGTAGCCGGGCTGCACGTCATGACCCGTCTCCCGGCTTCCTGTTTGACAAGAAGCCGGCTTCACTTGTTGCTAGGCAGCCTGGCTTCCTAACCAATCAGGAATCCCAGCGGCACGTCATGACCAACCTCCCCGCTTCGTGTTTGGTCAAGAAGCCAGGCTGCCTAGCAACAAAGGACCAATCAGGAAGCAGGGGCGGCACCGCATGACCGCCGCTGATTGGTCAGGAAGCAAGGCACCTCATGACCTGCCACTGATTGGTCAGGAAGCCTGGCAGCCTCGGGAAGTGAACCCGGTGTTATTTCGATAGAACACCGGCTTCCCAGGCAAACAGGAAGCCGAGCGGATGGTCATGATCCGTTGTCTGGCTTCCTGATAATCGGGACATACAGTATCGGTATTGGCGAGTACTGAAAAAAAAATATCGGTACGCGTTACGGAAAAAACGGTATCGGTGCATCCCTAACTATAATGCACATTTTGTACATAAAAAAGCCAATTTAACCCCAAAATACTTATGTATTTTCTGAAAGCAGAGACCCTTTAGAATAAAATTCTGGCAGATGCAATTTTTTATGTCACATGATTGCAAAACTGTTAATCAAATCTATACTTTAAGTAGAAAAAAAAACCTCAAATTAATTTTGGGGCACACAAACAGGATACAATCCCCACTTCTTTAATAAAATATAAAAGATGAGGTTGTGTGAAGTAAAGAGATACCAAATATGTCAGGCCTCAAAATTGCGTGCGTTTATGAATTGGTGAAAATGTACGCTACCAAACATTTTCCATAGGCAATAGGCGACAGCCTTAGTGGTCAGAGATTTACAGCCCTAAACCTGGAAGTGCTCAGAGCTGAGAACTTCTGGGTTAATCGTTCTCAGGAGAGATTAGCGAATGGATGTTCATCCATCAACACTCTCGATCCTGACATCCACCATAGTGGCCCTAGGCAGCCAGGAGGGACAGGTAAGCTTGGGATGGGGGTTGGAGGAGATGGGGGTTGTTTACATGATGGGGCTAAAGACACATTTATGCTAAAATGTTTTACTTTGTTATGGATAGCAGGGAAGGGCTGTCAGTTTTTTTATTGCGGAAAATCTCCCAAGTCACAGGCAAAATTAAAAACCTGACAGAAATTTTAGATGTTTCACCACTGAAAAAATATAAATAAATTTTGGCTGGGCTAGGTTATAAGAGATAACTTTAATCAGAGAAAGTACAGTTATCTTTGTGGCTTATACCCTCTCACCCCCCTTTGAATGCTTACCTAAATGAGATGCCTGGCACACAGAAATCTTCAGCGCCTCTAACCAAAATCTCCTTTCCCAAGGCTGATCCTGTGTAATCAAACCTCATAGGCTTCTATAGGGCTATCTTCTGCCACTGGAGATGATTGGGAGGGGGCCCTATATAAGTCTATGTCAATGAACTGTACAAGCATTGTCAGAAAAGAGATTTTGTCTGGAGGCTCTGAATGTTCCTGTGGGTCGTGACTCTCTGAATCGGGTAAGTGTTTATCTAAGGTTGGGGGGTGTCTTTAGATCAAGGTGGGGAGGTGGGGGGAGTAGGCCAGACAGACAAATATACTTTCTCTATAAATATTTGTTTTTTAGGTGACCTGATTAGTACAGTTTAATTTTTCACATAGATGTCCTACTGAAGGAAACCTGTGTTAAACTAAATCTGTCTTGAGAGATCCAAGGAGGCTACAAGCTTATGTCTTCTAAAAATGCTAGTTGCCTGGCTGCCCTGCTGACCTTCTTTCTTGAATAGATGGCCCCAGAACAAGTAAACAACTAAGGACTTAAGTCAAGTATGTTCAAGTCAGCCCCAGGCTTTTTATAGCTCCTGACTTGTATACATTTAGAGCAGCAAATTATTTCAGGTAATTTAGAGTGGGATTGGTTTGATTTGTGCAGGTTACTTGTACTAATTGTAATATTCTGTGTTTTCAGTGGTTTGAGCCTTCCCAGTTTGGCACTTGGTGGGCCGTATTATCCTGCAGCATGAATCTTGCAGGCACCCTTGGTCCTATCATTGCAACCCTGGTGGCAGCGAGTTACAGCTGGCGCACCACTCTATCCGTGTCAGGTCTGATCTGCGTTGGGGTCTCTGTAGTGTGCCTTATACTCATCAAGAATGAACCATCAGATGTGGGACTGAAGAATATTGAAGTAGGACCCAAGAAAGGGAAGAAAGGTGAGCCTTAACTAGGTATACTATTGCAGAAAAATTGAGAAGTCTTTGTCACTGCATGCTTTTTAGGAAGCTAGATTTCTCAAAGTTTAAGGTGCATTTGTAATTTCAGAATAACAGTGCTGCAGAGTGCCAAGATAATAAGGTGGCAAGGGTTTCATCCTCTGTCTTTATTTGAGTTGTTTTTTGCTTCCCCCCTCTACTCTATAAGAGGCATTTTTTTCTGCGGTTGTGTCCCTGTTAAAGAGGATTTCCCTTATTTCCTGTCCTGGTGTCAGTGTTGTCACAGGTAGAGGAAGTGAGCAGAAACCTCTACAGTGGGAAGAAGCAGTAAACTTTACAGAAGGTATAACGCTTCCCTTTTGTTCTAAAATAAAAAATCAGTTATGGTTTAAACTTCACACTCAAAAATACACAGAAACCTTTATCAGCATAAAAGCACAAGTGCAGTACTAAGCAAAGGAGTTCATATTAGGATATATTATCTGCCATATCATTAAATATGGCACAACACACAAGCACATAAGCATTAATTTCTGCTGTAGTCTGCTGTAGTCACAGTGTCACGTACCTGGTAAGAGAGTGGAAGGTGAGGAGGCTTCTCTTGTGACTCATGTCCTTCTGCCCCTGGAGATGGGGACAGGGAGCAGATTGACAGCGAGGAGCACGAGTGCCACTGATAGGAACCGACAACGTGCAGGAGACGTCCTGATGGCGTGTAGTCAGCAAGCCGGAGGTCCACCGAGCAGATAGTGTGGAGGCAGGAACAGGAGACTGGAGCGAGGTCAGGAAAGCCAGAGGTCGGAGCCAGCCGGGCAGCAGAGTACAAAATCAGGAGGCAGAAAGCATAGTCCAGAAACAGGCCGAGGTCAGGGGCAGGCAGCAATCCAATAGCAAAGTCCAAAACAAACCGGGTCAGGCAAGTCACAGGAATCTTAACAGGAACAAGCACACAGGAACACAAGCTGAAAAGACCATCAGCAATGGAGCAGGGGCAGGCTCGTCTTTATATGGTGAGCTTAACCAGGTAACAGCATCGGTTCCTGTGCGATGGCCGTTGCGCGTGTTTCCGCGCACTTCCGGTTTGCACGTGCCACATTTGAGATTTGGCTTGCACGCATGCGCAGCCACCATTTTGCCCTTACACTAAGACTTAGTTGCAGGCAAATTACATGATATTGGGGAAGATTAAAAAAAAAAAAAATTGGCTGTTTTCTGATTGTTTACACAACTTGTGAAAGTAGCCATACACATAAGCATTACCAAACCATCCCCCCGTTATTCATTTCTGCTTCTATGAGAAGATCAGATGAAAAATGTAGACACTTGATTGCTAGCAACTTTAGTTTCACAATACAATCAATTCTGATCAACCCATTGTCATGATTTGCTGTATTAGGGAACTGCATTTGTCATTGCATAGAGGTTTATACCAGGCTCCCAAGTACATAGGATGCTATATAACAAGCTTGTTTCTTTTCCCAGGTTCTGGAGCTTCAGATGAGACTACACTGAAGGAGTTCCTATTGTCTCCATACCTGTGGTTGCTGTGTGCTGGCTATTTGGTTGTGTTTGGGGTAAAGACTTGTTGTACAGACTGGGGTCAGCTTTTTCTGATTCAAGACAAAGGACAGACTGCTTTAATAGGTTAGTATGTACATGGAAAATTTGCTCTTGAAAGGGAACTTCACCCCCCTGTTTTCTTTTCAATCCCCTCTTACTTTGTTTATCTTCAGTAAGCATACTCATGCCAAGCAAATACATAATTGTTCTGTGGTAGCCTGCCGCTTCGCTGCTGCACCCCATGTCCCACACCGCCATCTTCTTTTCTTACGTCATCAGGAGCCGGCTTTCTCTTGCAGCCAGCCCCCTTATGATGCATTGCTGCATATGTGCATTTTATATAGACTGCCCTTGAATTCTTCTGGGATGCTTGACTTGAGTATTCCAGGAGGCTGTGGGCAGCTGGGGGTAGGTCATTTAGTGTCACCACAGGAGATTATTGGACGATTCTTTGGAGATCAGTCTCACATGGTATACTTGAATGGGAAGCACTGGGGTTGTCATCATTGAGGGAAAAATGTCCTGCCCTCATTCAAGTCTGTAGGGAAGAGAGAAGATCACTCGCTAATAGTTTCTGCTATACAGCAAAACTGTGTAGCAGCTTACATTAAAAGTAATATTATATACATTAAGAAACCAATTTCATTTGGTAGTAAGACTTCTTCAGCACCAGCATAGCCTACCCAGGAGTGATATACCTCAGATTCATCCAGGTGATGCACAGTATACAGGTGAAACTCGAATAATTAGAATATCGTGCAAAGTTCATTTATGTCACTAATGCAACTTAAAAGGTGAAACTAATATATGAGATAGACTCATTACATGCAAAGCAAGATAATTCAAGCCGTGATTTGTCATAATTGTGATGATTATGGCTTACAGCTCATGAAAACCCCAAGAACCCCAAATCCACAACCTCAAAAAAGTAGATTATTACATGCAATCAATAAAACAAGGATTGTACATAGAACAATATCGGACCTCTGAAAAGTACAAGCATGCATATGTACTCAGTACTTGGTTTGGGCCCCTTTTGCAGCACTTACTGCAATTACTTTTGCACGATATTCTAATTATTCGAGTTTCACCTGTATATTATAGGCTCTGGCCTTCTACCAGCCCCTTGTAGGTCTTGCTGTTAAGGATAGACCTCTAATTCTTCTTGCTCATCTACATGCTAATGTGAAGACTCCCAACTTCATTGCCTTGACTGTCCCCTTCTTGTTGGTAGTGGACTCTGGTAGGTCAGTAAAGAAAGTCCTGATGTGTTGGAGCTGCCAGGCTAACACCATTCTGTCCCATGCTGATTTTATTTTTGTATTAGACTTGATAGATGTTAAACTGCAGCAGGCTGCACATATTTTATTGCATCTTACCCCAGCATTGTGCTGGAGCCCTAAATGTGCATTAACCATATTAATATACATTACATGCTTGGAATATTTACCAGACGTTTACATGTTTTGACATTATAGTAGCCCAAAGAAGATTCGTATACAGTATACTTGCACATGGAAGAAAGTTTTTTGATTACATAGACTTTTAGGAACACTGGTATGTTTCCTATGTATAACATTTTAACATAACTAATAAATATTTTTTTATGTATCCTGCAGGAAGTTCCTACATGAGCGCTCTTGAGATTGGAGGTCTTGTAGGCAGTATCTTAGCAGGATTGCTCTCTGACCGAGCAGTGGCAAAAGTAAGAATTTAAATCATTGTTTGTATTTCTTTCCCAAATCATTAAGCTCTCTTTTTAGGGGCCCATTCACACCAGTGCTCGGCTAAAACAAAGTATAGCAAATGTACCCCTGTGACCCAAAAAGGTTTGGCTTTACTTCTCTTTTAATGCACCAAATCAGAACGGGGTGGTGTGAATGGGCCCTAAAAGTTTATTTATTATTTGAAGAAATTTGCAATCCCTTTATCATTTTCAAAAATTGTCCATTTAATTTGCCTGTTTGATTAAAAGGTTTTTCTTTTTTGTTCATCTTTTCCCTTCCCCCTTTTTGCAAAGGTGACATTTAGTGCTTTAATATGATTAATATTAAAGAAGAACTCTGGGCTTTTTCAAATTTAACACTTGCAGTGTGGGGTGGACACTACACTTAGGAGTTGAATCCTAAAAATGCATTCAAGTACCTTAGCTATTAATAAAAATGTATCTTATTTGTGTATCACTCAACTATAGATACTCAAATCATCTCTGAATTAGTGCTGACACAGTCCTTCCTTCTGGAGGATGGCCACTTTTGTTCCCCATGGTCCCTGTGTGTTGTACAGTAGCCACCGCTCCAAGCTCGCTCCCATGATAGACTACAATCTCAGTACAAATTAGTAAACTAAACAAGGGATTGTAGTCCATCACAGGAGTGAGCTAAGAGCAGTGGCTACTTTACAACACACACAAGAACCATAGGGAACAAAAGTAGCCACCCTCCAGAAGGAAGGACAGTGTCAGCACCAATTCAGAAATTATCTTAGGATCTACAGCTGAGTGATAGACAAATAAGATACATTTTTATAAATAGATAAGGTATTTTTATGATTTAACTTCTGAGTTTAGTGTCACTTTAAATGCTCATTTTGGTCTAGGGACTAAAGTAAAAAAAGATTTGCTCACCCGATCCGCAGTCCCACCTGGTTGCTAGAGCGGAGCCAGCATCCTCTTCTCCCCCGGGTTCCTGTGGTGTAAGTACTGCTGGCGTAATCATGACTAATACAAGTCCATTGACTTGCATTGGACGTCAGGACACTGAGGGACATTCCAAAGCTGGTGCAAGGCCTCTTGCAAGGCTTTTTTTACTTTGTCTGACTATAAATATACAGGTGAAACTCAAATAATTAGAATATCGTGCAAAGTTCATTTATTTAACTAATGCAACTTAAAAGGTGAAACTAATATATGAGATAGACTCATTACATGCAAAGCAAGACAATTCAAGCCGTGGTTTGTCATAATTGTGATGATTGTGGCTTACAGCTCATGAAAACCCCAAGAACCCCAAATCCACAACCTCAAAAAAGTAGAATATTACATGCAATCAATAAAACAAGGATTGTACATAGAACAATATCGGACCTCTGAAAAGTACAAGCATGCATATGTACTCAGTACTTGGTTTGGGCCCCTTTTGCAGCACTTACTGCAATTACTTTTGCATGATATTCTAATTATTCGAGTTTCACCTGTATACTGTGATCATAACACTCCAACACTCAAACCAAAGAAACTGAATATCTGTTACAGTGTTAAATGTAATCAAATAAGTAAATGACCAAAAAACAAATGAACCTTAATTAAATAATGTCATCCACTAATGTATATAGATTATATACTTCAATTCAGTGCATTAACTTGTGAAGATTATATACATTCAGATTTCATACATAAGTGTCCCAATTTGAAAAACAAAAAAACTAAACTTTAGTAGAATGTAAAACACACCGAATGGCAAGTTTTTGTACAAGCCTTTTACCATACAGGGGACATACTGTAGACATGAAATTCCCAGTACAACCTTTTAAAAAAGAAAATCGTCAAAAATAGATAATACCATTTCACACTCAGCCAAGGGACCATCAGTCTCAACACATGGGCAACGGATGGATGTAGTTTGTATAGGAAAAGGCTCCTAATAATAGGTCTTCTTGCTGTGCAATACCCCCTTGCATATGGCATCAATGGTCTAAGCAACGATTACAACATTTTCTTGGACTTAATGAAGGCATTTTGTTATTTTGAATTGTACGTTATAGAAAATCTCCCAAAATGAATGGAATTCCCTAGGAATGTTCCGATACCAAGTACCGTACTCAGTACAAGTACAGATACTTTTCCAGCTCCACGACTAGACTAGAAAAAAATTCAAAAGTTAGGAGGCAGCTGTCATTTGTAAGGATTATACGGAGCTCCTGGGATTTGTACATCTCTGTTTTAATGTATATTTTTATAAATATATATATACTGTATATATATATAAGTGATGCACCGATGCTGTTTTTTCAAGTACAACTACTGATACTTGTACAAGTACTCCCAGATACAAGTACTGATACATTTTTATTTATTGTCATGTGACAGTTTTTCTAAAACAATAGAGACTAATGATTTCAGGACAGTGGTGGAGCGCCAGAGCTAGGTCCCAGCTGCAACCATTGTAACCCTTGTAGTTCTCATGAAAATGCCAAGTATCGGCACTGGTATCTGAACTGGTATCTGAACATCCCTCGAATTCCCCTCTTAGACACTTGTCCCCGGGATAGGTGTCCTCATTGGGAGATTTCCCCTCACCTCTTATTCTGGGGACAGCTCTAAGATTATGGATGTCCACTCAATTTCTTTCTCTGTGACAATGGTCACAGGACAAACGGAGGGGTGAACCTCTCTTATGCAGTAAAATCCCACAGAGGGTCTAACCATTCCTCACTCTATCCAAAAGTAGAAAAACAGGTTTTTCCTAGAGATACACTTTAATGTACGAAGTTAATCCAGCTGCTGTTTTCAGGATCAGAAATTCATTTTATTTTTCTTCACGAGGTAGTACATTTAAAGTGGAATTGGATCATTGTTTTCTCTTCCTTCTGTATGAGGGTTAGATCTTAATAGATGTTTTCTTTATTAGCTAGAGCCGATGTATGTCATTTCTGTATTTATATTCTATCTCTGATTTACTAATTGATTTTTGTTATTTTTTAGGTAGGGTTGAAGAGCTATGGTAACCCACGTCATGGTTTACTCCTCTCTATGATGGCTGGAATCGTGGGCTCCATGTTTCTATTCCGTATTACAGTTACTCCTGGATCACCCAAGGTACCAGTAAGCGATGTGCAGTGCCTTTACTGCCAGCAATGAGGTTCTGTTAAACATGGAGTTACTGGACGCACATTATTTCTATCTGGCAGCCCTGGAAAGCTTTTCATTCTTTGCGAATAATACTGATGCTCTTAAAATGTCTGTTTTTTTCTTCTCTTCTTTCTTCTTCCCTGCTGTTCACTCGCTCAGGTTGGCGGAATCTTATCTGTCGCTCTGCAGCCACTTGCTGAGATGTCCGGTCTGAATGAACAAGAGGTTTACTTCCTTTCTATATTTCATCCCGTCAATCCTTTGTTTGTTTCCCTTTCCCTTATGGCTGCTCTTACATTATATCTTTGTCATTTAACATGTCCATAGAGCTTGTGTCCAGTAGTGTCATAGTAGTGTTTCATGCACATGTGTGGTATTTCAGCGACTGTTATATTTGTCAGTGTGTATGGCAATCTTTCGGCTTTACTCTCTGCAGCATGGTGTGTCTGATAACTTGGTCTCTTGTTATGGGTTGAGGGACTGAGGGTATAAGAATAGACAGTGGAAAGAAGACAGCTGGAAAGGAATTTTTTTTCCTGCCCTCTTCATTTTTGTTTTCTTGAACTTTTTTAAGAAAAGCAACTGTTAAATGTGTTATTCCTGGCTGCCTTACCTCATTGGTGTGCTCAATGCAAACATTTAAAGTTATTTTAGTGGCCATGTATCCTGTTAAATCTTTGGCTAGTATTATGGTGGGAATTCATTTACATACCACTCACTTAACTAGAGATGTCAGAATGCACCTTCTGCCCCATTGCCTGTGAAGTGCCAGCTGTCAGTGATACATTTATCCAGTGCTACTGGGGCCCTCGCTGAGCCTGAATGCCATCTCTGTACTGCACTGACAGCAGCAGCATCCAGACACAGATGGATAGTGGAGGGGAATATTAGGGCTCAGGCTAAGTAGGCACTGCTTCTGGGGCCCACCTCCAATGGTGGCAAGTCTCTTCGGACACATGTGTATGAAAGAGGAAGACTAACAAATTGAACATGGTACCTCACGTCATGATTGTCATTCAAACCCTCAAAAGACTTTGCAGACAGGGCTAGATGTATGCATAGGACACATAGGCCATGTCTTGTGGCAGTAGGGTTGTGAGAAGTAGCACCCGGCAATACTTTGTAATCAATCATAATGGTGCTGATATCCCAGCTTGCCTTCAGAGTCCATTGCTACCTGCTAGTATATTGGTATATCGACTTTGACTACTCATAGTTTGCCCTCTCCTTGTCTGTACAAAACTGAAAAAGATCAGTTTGTGCAGTAATGGTGGAGGGGGCCTACTAGCCGGGGTGGATGTATCATTTGTAAAGACTTTAAATCTCCATAAAGGCTTTCTAGGATATAGGATCCCATTTACATGAGATGCAATCTGTCCCTACACAGTAATTGTTTGTGTTTGGGAAGTAAATTAATGCGGAGGCCCCAAAATAGTTTTTGCACAGGAGCCCTTTGGTGACTATGTGTGCCACTGCTTACTAGATGTCGTATTCTAGCTGCTTTGCTGGTGGTCAGGTTGTAAGGATGCTTATAGAGCTCCAAGTGTGGTCAGACTTTTATGCTGGATCTGAGAGCTTGCAATCTAGAGAGACACCAGAGCAGATTGTATAAGCATTCAAGCTTTAAATCACTCTATGGAAAGGGGAAGGGCACAGATATGGTTTAGAGGAAGTGGCTTATCGTAACAGGAACAGAAGTGATCAGGACAGAATTACTAAACTACCCAGTCGTTTGTCCCTCTCAAGTTTAGTCTTGCAAGCATCCCATAGACATGAAGCTGTCACCTGATCAATCCAAAAACAGATCAGGTGACTGTGTGAGCCACATTTGTAGCCTGCCTGAGCTACAGTGGAGAAGGTGGGTCATCGCTGCGATTAGCTACACAGAGCAGCACAAATACAATGATAAAAGGTTGTGGCTGTTATGCAGCTGTAGAATGAAATCTGCAACCCCGTGTTTACAGCATGTTCACAATGCATGGCTTGATTCGATTCAATGAGGCTGATGTTTAATATAATACATTGGCTCTGAGAGGAATAGATGAAGCAGAGTTACACATGGTATTTGAGAGACTTTAGTATATCAGACCTGCTAATATTTAGCATACTTCATCTGAAGTGCTACATGTGACTGGTTGGCTCTCATTGTCTTAAACATGGGATAGAGCCATTTGCTAAGGGATGAGTGATTGCTCATGGGTCATCCACTTCTGTGTGTAAATTGCAGCTTGAGCTATGTAGGCAGTGTGTAATTAAAAGGCTTTTTTTCAATAAGCTGCAAAAACATTAAATACATGTGTGAAAAGGAGCTGAAAACCCCAAAACACAATGCAAAATATTAATACACAATTTACCTGTTTTCCCATAATAAAGAAAAAATATACATTCCCATTAGGCTAGTTTGGCCTTTTATATAGCTTATACTTAATTAAACATATACAACTTATGTGCCCCGTTTGTAAAAACAATTAAAAAAAGCTTTCCCTTAGCAACTGGTAATTCCACTGGAATTTGTAACCTTTTCAAAGCTATTGTTTCCTCATTTATAAACCTGTAAACCTGGAATAGTATATGAACAGAAATTCAAAGAAATTGTCTTTGAAGTCTACATTAAGCTTCAGTTTATAAACAATAGCCACACAGTGTGCTGCAGAGATCAAGCCCTAAGGTACCCATAGACATTAGGCCCCCATCTGGTGCCTGCAAAATTGACTGATATGATGGGCGGCTGTCTATAGGGCGGGAGAACCTTGGCACTCACCACCATAAGAGGCATGGTTGGTCAGGTTGCAGCTTTTCAGCGCAAAAAAATAAATGTGTCACCTCTTATTCATACTGTGAGATACAAGCATGTGTGTCTGTGTGAAGTGTGTTCAGTGTTCACTAGTAATTGTCCTGTCTATGTCCAGCATGATAAATTGAGTGTTGAACTCCACATTAATACCTAGTTATAAATATTATCTTTGACAGGTTTGGATTCTCATCCTCGGAGCCATATTTGGCTTCTGTTCCTATGGACCTATTGCTCTCTTTGGGGTTATTGCCAATGAAAGTGCTCCATCCAACTTCTGTGGCACTTCTCATGCAATTGTGGCCCTTTCTGCTAATGGTAAGTAGGGAGATGCCTATGAAGTTTTTCTTTTATTACTTATTTGACTTCTTTGTTTTAGGAAACAAAACAAAAAACTCTATTCTCAATACCCGAAGGAAAGTAAATATAGTGTATACTATGTATGTGTTATCTATTGCACTGTCTCTACTACTACATCTTCAGGCCTAATAAGTGTCAGGCACATACCCCAGCATTTATATCTACACAGGTAACTCTTAATCCTATCCCCCTGGAATAAAGTCCAGATGACAGATGTTGATTGTCCAAGGACATGATGGGAGGTGTAAAGGCTGTGGAACTATCCTCTTCTAATCACATCCCTTGGTGTTGTGTTAGGAAGTCTGCATAGGTATTATTGCTTGGATAAGTAAAGTATGTCCACATCCATACCCTGAAATGATTCCCTTTATTATGGATATGGGCTCTAGGTAATCATCTTTGTCTCCCTGTCCACTAAAACATGTCGCTGGTACAATATGTAAGTAGGTCACAGGCTGGAAAATCCAGACCTAATAACTGTCATAATTATTTTTTTGTTCTGCAGTGACATCACAAGTTTGCATTAAAGCTAAACTCGGGGATAAGCAAATATTGTCTGAACCATGTGTGTTCTTACTTGAATCTTGGTGTGCTTTGTGTGTTTCTTCCAGATCTCTGTATTAATTCAGTGTGGAACTTTGCCTTTGTGCAGGAGCTTCCAGTATTAAAGACCGGTCACTGCAGCTCTCTCTCCTTGTGCAGGGTGACTGGTCTTGTATCTGCCCCCTCCTGTAGTTTTCTGCAGGCAGCCTGTAGTGGGTGGACTGGTTTGGCCCCTCCCACAGCTCTACTTTCTGCACAGAGCGTGTGCAGCGCAATGATGATGTCACCACTACTTTTACAAGGTCATAACTTGGCTTGCAAAGGCATTTGATACACACAAAGGGGATTTATATCCTTATTGGCTGTTTGAGGTATAGATTTGATTTAAAGTTTTGTGCCCAAAGCTTTAAAGTAACTGGCATTGGTATTCATATTCTTGGAAGAACCCTTCTATGAAGCTTTTGTTGCCAGCTTTCTCTTCCAGACCCTTGTGACCCCATTTATACTATCTTGTGCCTTCTGATGCTTGCAGGGCCAATCCTTTTTCATAACAGAGTGTTGGTTGCATCATTGTTGTCATCGTTTTATACAGGGCACAATCCAAAGGTTGTAGCTGAGGCCTAGTTCTTAGTAAGGAAGCTAGCAGAAGTCTTATTTCTGTACTCTTGCCACAACCCACTGTTCTCCATATTCTCTGGGGTTCTCATTTCTCTGTCACCCAATGGTTTGTCATAGCTTACGGGTGGATACAAATTCAGAACTCAGCTCTGTTTGGTATTAGACAATGTTTATATCAGTACAGAGAACCCTAAACTACATTCTGTAAAAGCTTCCAAAGGGACCCCAAAATGCAACAGGCTCACGAGCCATGGGGGATTGGGGATCAGGCATTTCTGGGGTACAATTTGTTAATACAATCAAACAGGAAACAAAAACTGTGAGAAAACAAAAGAAAAGGGCGCCCACCCTAGTGCAGATTGTTTTTAATATTAAAAGGTAGCAAAACAGAGTAGAATCATACTCACAATGGTGGATCAAATAAGAGCATTCAACAAAAGCGTCGAGGACATCAGTGAGAGGCTGCACAGTCAGCCTGTGTGCCAGCACAGAATGCCTGCGTTAACGCGTTTCCGGGGTCACGCCCCCTTCGTCAGAACGTGACCTCAACCTCACTCGTGCAACAATATGTAGCAATATGGGGCCAATAGGAAGCGCTCAATGATAGGGGAAACCACCCCTCAGGTCGGTGTCTTGGTTGCCATGACGGGACCTCAGCGCTCCTCCTGATATCCGCCTCTAAAGGGGATGCCGTGCCCTCTGGCCAATCAAAAGGCTCGCAACGAACCAAGCCCCCAGTCTCTCAAGGAACCCCCACTTGACCTATTCAGGCCTATTTTGTCTATTCAGGAAACAAAAACTATAAAGACCTAGTCCATAACAAATGTTTATGATACAACAGAACCCCCTCCACAAATAGCGCACTGCAACATCTAAAGTGAGAAATTTTTTCTTAAGCTGGCCCTTTAAGTGAAGGCAACTTTTTCACCTAAAAAATAACACCCAAGCTGACAAACACCCCAGGAAAATATATCAAATTGTATAAAAGTATTACCAGAAGCTGCATCTGCAGCCATTCACAGCGCTAACGTGACTGCTGTATTGCGAACAGGGCCGGTGCTAGGATTCTACACAGGCAAGGTGCATTTTTGCACCTTTTTTTTATAGGAAACATCCCCGCTGAGGGGAGGGCTTGCCGATGATTGCAATGCTGAGCGGGCAGTGTGCGCTTGCGCACACCGGCCCGTGCGGCTTTCGTCTTCTGAGCATGCTACCAACCCGACGAAAATCGTACGATTTTCAGCAGGTTTTCCACCGTGCTCGGAAGACGAAAGCCGTGCGGCCGTACAGTAGATGCGGTCGGACGCTGCCCATACACCTGCCGATTATCGTATGATCATGGGATCACCCGCGATTATCGTACGATAATCGCCAGGCGTATGGGCACCTTTACACAGAAGTAGTCAACAAGTGAGCAGGCAGTGCTCTGCGTTCTTATGAAAAGGCTCAGCAGGCCTTGCATACAAACTATCAGCAGGCCTTGCATACAAACTATCAGCAGGCCTTGCATACAAACTATCAGCAGGCCTTGCATACAAACTATCAGCAGGCCTTGCATACAAACTATCATGGAAGCAGCCTGAAAATTAGAAAATGATAGTTCTAAACATTTACAAATGTTAAAACTGACCTAAATCCATTGCAGTGCCCTAGTAGAGGAACCATGCTTATATTTAAATGCTTCAACCTTAGCATTCAACATACAGCCACAAGTACCGGGATTCAATAACAGCTTTAGTGCTGGAAATCATTACTGAAACTTGAGTTCACTTAGCAAGCAGTCCTCCTATGAGGAGGTGTAAGCATACAGTATAAATCATGACAGCAGACTGGACTATGTTCTACTTTTAGCACTTCCTATTTTGTCCACCTGTTAGAATGACCCCCATGTCTGCTCAGTGCTTGGCATAGACTCTGGTGCACGCCCACCCTCTGTGTATATCTGTCAGTGTGACCCATCTGTTCACTCTTTCTGTCATTTTCCCTGGCGGGGTAGACTTTATTATGCCTTGTATTTTATATATAAGGACGTTGTGATATGCAGGTAACCAATATGACAGGAGACTTTCATTCATGAACATTACAGTGTCAGGTATCTGATAATTGCAGACTCATCAGGTTTCAAGGACGCGAGGGCTATCTGTGATGTACTGCGAACTGTAGAATACTTCCCGAGAGGCCTCACTCAGGGAAATTTCTCTGGATGATGACATATGTTCCCTGTGTAGACATGAACACTATCCCAGCAAATCAGACCAGCCATCATTTAGATTAGATCCCAAATTGTCAACATATGAAATATGTCTCAGCCATATATTTATATAATGCACAGGGGTTGATTTACTAAAGGCGTATGCTCCCTTTGCAAAGGAATATTCACATAGCTCAGTGAATGAGTTGAAGCTTTGTCCACTTCCATCATCCAGTCATGTGCAAGCAAAAATACAGTTTTGTTAAGTTTCCTTGCATGTGATTGGGTATTCTTTCAAAGTGAACATTCACCATACTCATTAAGCTAAGGGAAAACCTCCCTCCAAAGTGGAGAGTCTATTTGCCTAGTAAGTCAACCCCAATTACTCCTAGAAAAGGAGTACACAATGGCACACAGATTGTAGAAGTCTGTATCATGACAAGAGGAAGCAGTGCACCTTGGGAGAGACTGTGGGAATAGAAGGGTGTATGCAGGCTATAAGTCCCTGTTCATATCTTGGCGTTGCGTGCTTTGGTGCATGTTCACGCAACATGTTCAAAATGTGCAACGCACTTACAGTGCCATTAGTTGTTAATGTCACCCCAAATGTGGCCGGTAAAACACACATTTTTTTCTGCACGCAGACGCGTGACAAACAAGCAGGAGAAAAGCGCGGAAAGCTCGCAGCTGAAATTCTGCAACAGCTACTTTTCTGTGATTGTCGTGCGTTCGGCAGCCCATTGATTAAATGGCCTGACGCACTACAACGCCGGGAAAAAGAAACATGCACGCATTTCCGCATCACTAGGTGTGACCGGGGCCTTAAAGGAAGGAATAAGAAAGTCTGTTCCATCTGCAAAAATAATATTAATAAAACAAGATTTCCCCATTGGTTCTCTGCTTGGGTTGTAGGATACAAAGAATGTCAGTGGGATTTATTCACAAGTAATAACAATATTTCATCTTCTGCTGGTTTGTCATTTTCTATTCCCGTTTTCTGATCAAATTCAAGAACTTTCAAAAAGTTTGATTTTTTGTATTGCTGTGTCACTAATATTCGACATCCTTGTTTCATCCTGACATGTCATGGCTTGACATTTTAGCAGACAATGTACACAAAGCTGAAGTATAGTCGACTTTTATTTTGACTTCCCTGGCTTCTCCCCTCCCCCGCCCATCAACATGCTGATGACTTGATTAAATAAAGCCTTTACATACCTTATTTTGGCCCCAGTGACATAATCATTGGGTCTCTGTAACTCTCTATGCAATGCAGGCAGATAATAGCTGGTGGGATGGTCCGGCTCGGTACCATACATAGCTTCCTAAAAACAGGAAGCTGTGGTAACACCCACATGTGATGCTGAGCCTCCATGACTGAAATCCAATGAATGAAAGGAGCAGGTCATGGATAGTAAGGCTGGGGTGGGAAGCGATGGATGATGCCGGATGTTCTCCAGCCAGGAAATGATGTGGGCTCTATCTGACTTGCTGCAGCTTTTGATGGTGAGAAGCTCCCAGTATGCAGTGAAATCAGAGTAAGAAACTGAGATAGACTTTTAGTGACTTTGAATGGACTACAGCTACCTGTGTTTTGGTGATATTGTTGCAGAACACAAATACTTCCACCTTGACCTAAATAGACTGTGACAGGAGATGTATAATATGAAGGTACACATAATGACAAAGTCCTCGCCCAAGGCACACAAATCTCTGGCTCCGGCTCTGCAAGCAGTTATTTATTTAACCCCTTCATGACCAGGGTGTTTCCTGTCCAGGCCATTGATCAGTATTTAGCGCTGCGGTACTCTGACATTTATTCCGTCATGCAACGCTGTACCGAAATTCATTTTATATCAGTCTTTTTTGGCACACATATAGCTTTCTTTTGGCGGGATTTAGTCACTGGGGGGGTTATTTTTTTACTATATAACGAAGAAAGTACCAAACATTTTGAAAAAAGAATACGGTTTTCCTACGTTACCCGCCCTCAGCTGTTTCATTACGATTGGCTGGACAGCACGTGGTTAAGAACAGATTTCTTTTATTCTTGGTATTTATATAGCGCTGACACTTTACACACTGCACATTCACGTCATCATTTTAAATTATATACAAAACTGTCTCTGGTCTACATTATTCATGTGTATTAATGTTGGCCATTAGAATTCAAATGTAACTATAGGAAAAAATAAAAAGACCGTCACTGCAATCTGTCACTGATATTAACAATGCAAAATCCTCCCTGAGACCTGTTATTCCTGCCAGTAGATCTGTTATATTCCACATCCTGTAATGGGGTGACAACGCTGTTCATTCTGAAATGAAGCTCGGAAGTTCTGTCACCCTGCATAAACCATAGTCTTAAGGTGCCCAAAAACCTGCCGCGATCGTACGATAATCGGCAGGTGTAGGGAAGGCGTGCGACCGTTTCTACTGTACGGTCGCACGTCTTTTGTCTTACGAGCACGTTGAAAAACAGCGGAAAATCGTAAGATTTTCGGCGGGTTAGTGGCGTGCTCGGAAGACAAATGCCGAACGGGCCGGTGTGCGCAAGTGCACACTGCCCGCTCAGCATTGGAATCATCGGAAGCCCGCCCCTCAGCAGGGCGGGCTTGCGATGATCGCAAGTATGATCTGTCTGTCCAAGATGGGCAGATCGTCCGAGATTTTAATTGCCTTACAACCATCGCACAACAAAAGTTGTGTGATGGTTGTAAGGTGTATGGCCAGCTTTAGGTGGACATGTATTTTATTTTGATACTTTATTGAACTCAGACAGCTGTACAAAGTTGTAGCATTGTATGAAAATGAACAATTACAATGAGTATACAAAACTAAAAATTGTATACTTGCCTATGGGTCATTTTCCTTTCCTGACACCAATACATGGCAGCATACTGGTGGGTATAGCTCTGCCCCCCATCTGTATGTTCCCATGTTTGGTGTCAGGAAAGTAATATGAACACATGAAATACATGTGACATGAAGGAAACGGAAACATTGACAGCCTTGTGCGTTTTTGTTGCGTATGCGCACACACACATTGTGTAACATAATACAAGAGGACACCATACACTGATTGTGGCAGTTCTGTCTTTTGGACCGGAGTAGATCATTCTGAATATAAATGGAGAGTAGAATAATACCATATGTCCCAGGTGTTATGAGACTTAGGGGAGACAGTATGACAAGCTGGACTTGTGTTTTTAAACAGATAATAAAAGCTCAAATCCAGCTAAAACATTTTAAGCAGTTACAGGAAGAGTTTTTATTTTGAAAAAAAGGTTTAAGCCATATGAATAAAAGTTGACCATTGCAGGCACCCCCACCAGTGTAATATGGTTTGTCCCAACACTGTGAATTGCCACTTTTCATAGCCAGCTGGGCTAGTTGCTGGAAGTGGAAAGTTACAGATCTTCTGGCAGGATCTACCGATCAATAAACTGTTACAAGGGGAATCCGAAAAACAGACTGTTGTGTTAATGTCAGTGACAGAAATTATTTGTCATAGTTCCACTTTAAGTTTAAAACATGTTACATCTGTTTAGGCCACTCTCTCTTTATAAATTAGAATGTGATAAACATATACACTATATTACCAAAAGTTTTGGGACGCCTTTACACGCATGTGAACTTTAATGGCATCCCAGTCTTAGTCTGTAAGGTTCAGTATTGAGTTGGCCCTCCCATTGCAGCTATAACAGTTTCAACTCTTCTGGGAAGGCGTCCACAAGGTTTAGGAGTGTGTCTATGGTAATGTTTGACCATTCTTCCAGAAGCACCTTTGTGAGGTCAGGTACTGATGTGGGACAAGAAGGCCTGGCTTGCAGTTTCCACTCTAATTCATCCCAAAGGTGTTCTATCGGGTTGAGGTCAGGACTCTGTGCAGGCCAGTCAAGTTCCTCCACCCAAACTCGCTCATCCATGTCTTTATGGACCTTGCTTTGTGCACTGGTGCGCAGTCATGTTGGAACAGGAAGGGGCCACCCCCAAACTGTTCCCACAAAGTTGGGAGCATGAAATGGTCCAAAATGTCTTGGTATGCTGATGCCTTAAGAGTTCCCTTAACTGGAACTAGGGGGCCAAGCCCAACCCCTGAAAAACCACCCCACACCATAATCCCCCTCCACCAAACTTGACACTTGGCACAATGCAGTCAGGCAAGTACCCTTCTCCTGTCAACTGCCAAACCCAGACACGTCCATCGGATTGCCAGACAGAGAAGCGTGATTCATCACTCCGGAGAACACGTCTCCACTTCTCTAGAGTCCAGTGGCGGCGTGCTTTACACAGCTGCATCCGACGCTTTGCATTGCACTTGGTGATGTAAGGTTTGGCTGCAGCTGCTCAGCCATGGAAACCCATTCCATGAAGCTCTATACGTGCTGCTGTTGTGCCAATCTGAAGGCCACACGAAGTTTGGAGGTCTGTAGCTATTGACTCTCCTGGCAGTTGGCGACTTCTGAGCACTGTGCGCTTCAGCATGCGCTGACCCCGCTCTGTCATTTTATGTGGCCTACCACTGGCTGTGTTGCTGTTGTTCCCAGTTGCTTCTACTTTGTTATAATACCAAGAACAGTCGACCGCAGAATATTTAGTAGTAGTTTTTTTTCTGATACATATCAGGTATGTGATATTGAATAATTAGCAACTTTAGGGCCTGTTCACACCAGTGCATGCATTACGCACATTGGTACAATGCCATTTATTCTACATGGCACCACAGCGCACCTTCGCAGTGCATTGTGTTGTAGCAACACACAGCAATGCACGATTTTAGGATGTTGTGGTACGTTAAGCAGCCCATTTTAAGGAATGTGATGCCTTCATGTAACACACATTAATGCATGACCTAGGACCAGATTGGGGTGAGACCACCCTTACAGTGCAAGTGCAGGTTTTAGATATAGCGAGGAGGGTTGCAATCTCTGTCAGTAACTTACTGTTATCTGTATTCCAGTGGATATTTGTTTGCTTTCTGTTTCTGTGACAATGGGTGACATACCACTGTAAAAGCCTAAGGCCCCTTTCACACAGGCAGTCCGATCAGGTCCGCCTGTCAGTTTTTGATGAGGACCTGATTGGATGCCCAATGCTAGTCTATTGGCAGCCGTGTGTAAATCAATGGGGGTCTTTTTACAACTGGTTACCGCTGACTTCGGCCAGGTCCGGAAAAACAAATGGAAGTTTTGTTTCAATGGACCTGATTGAAACAAAACTTCAAACGGTTTTGTGGCAATGGACCTGATTGTGCCGGATCGGGGTAATCTGATGTAAATGGACACGTCAGTTTACATCCGACTCTCTATAGACCAAAATGGGTCTAGTCAGTTACATGTTTTCCTCAATCGCAAGATGGAGGAAAAAACTGGGCAGACACTGATGTCAGATCTGTGACATTCGATCCGTACTTGTCAGATCAGGCGGGGATCGGTGCATGGATCCTTTCCTGATCAGCTCGTGTGAGAAGCCTGTTACCCCACTCTATTCACAGCAAAAAAAACAAACCACACACGCACCCAAATTGTCTGGCATTTCCCTTTAGAGATATCAGCAAAGTTATAAGGTGACTCATGTTTTCTAACTATAATCCTTCTTTTCTTTCCTTGCAGTTGGAGGATTTCTTGCAGGATTGCCTTTCAGCACAATTGCCAAACATTACGGATGGGATACGGCGTTCTGGGCAGCTGAGATGACCTGTCTGGCAGTCACCATCATCTTCTTTCTCCTGAGGAACATCCAGACTAAAATGGGGCGTTTACCCAAGAAGTCAGACTGAAATGAAATTCAAAGCTCCTCCCCAAGTTCCTCTGAAGAACAGGGACATCAAGGTGGAGGGATGGACTTTAAATTATCAAATCTTTTCACCTTCAGGTACTGTAAAGTTCTGATTGGGTGCTGCAAGCAAGTTGTGTGGCCTTTCCCTGTTCGGGCACAGAAGTGTCCTGACTGCAGGACATGAAGGAAATGGGGGTATAACACATTTCATGTAGCCAATGTGAAATTCATTAGTCTTCCTGCATTTCATGAAGGAAATTTCATTTTACCTTTATGGTGAGATGCCACAGAGCTCTAACTGGAATTAATAATGCTGCACCTACCATATACAAAACGAAGAATTATAGGTATTAATTTAAAAAAAAAAAAAAAACTTGAATAAATTCTTTGTAACCGGGTTACTTGAACTTGACTTGTCAGCTCTTGTACAGTTGTATTCCTACTCTTCTCATGGTTAGTGTGACAGAAAGATATCTCTTTCTCTTGTGTACTGACCAACTTTAACCCCAGAGGCAGGGTGATGCGTGTTCAGAGCAGCGTTACTTGGATCAGCGCTATATTAGCCTTGCTCAACCTGGGTTCCCAACCCTGGAGCTCCTGAGCATTCACAAAGGGGTTCTGTGATGGAATTCTGTGCCTGCATAGTCCCGGCATTGACGTCACTTGGTAGAGGCAGCAACATGGAAGCAGTGGAATGTCTCCTCTGGTCTCTCAGGTAAGTAATTATTGACACCAGTGATGTTTTTAGGTCTCTGCAAGGGTCATCATTGTAAGAGGCATTCTTCTTGCTAACCAACAAACACTATTAGGAGGTCCTTCTACCAATGGCCCACCAAGGTAAGACAGCATTACACTGACCCCCAATATCAGAGGGCCCTCTTCCACTTACCACTCTAAAAAGGCAAAAAAAAGACACACGATTCACACAAAAAAAAGCTACATTTCATTCTCAATCCTTTTCTTATATCTAGAACTTACTAGTCACTAATGGACTATGAACTGAAAATTGTTTTGAGGGTTCCAAGAGGATATATATAAAAAAAAGTAGAGAAAATGTGTTAGTTAAGATTTACACCCCTGTTACAGAGCTGGGTATGCCATCACAATGTTGGCTAAAAGTAACTTGTTTTGGCTAATAAGGATCTCCATTGTGCGTGTGGTTTCATCAAACAAGGTTCTTGATTGGAAACGTACGAGAACTCCCAGGTGCATCAAATCTTAAAGAGGGTAAACTGACTCCGGTATTTCAGTAAATAAAATGAGATTAGATAGTCCTTATATTACCCTATAGAAATCACCTACTGACAGAGTCTGATTCTCAGGAAAGGTCTGTTCATGCCAACCATACCTCAAGCAAAAGAAATGACAAAAGGCTGTTCAAGACAATTGTAGAGATCCATAAAGCTGGAAGTTAGGACAAAAAAGAACATTCTTATTTAAAGTACACCTAAACCCAATCACTAAAATCGCATATAAGCTTTCATATGCTAAATTCATTCTAAAAGTTTCCAGGCTTTTAAGTTTGTAGCTTTCATTAAAAAAATAATACCTGGTGATCCTACTATAGTTATATAGTTGTTAAGGTTGAATAAAGACACAGTTCCATACAGTTCAACCTATGTGCATGTGTAGGAGTCACTACAACTGTCTCCCAATTGTACTCTTGTGTTGTCACCCTGCCACATTATTGTTATTATTATTATACAGGATTTATATAGCGCCAACAGTTTGCGCAGCGCTTCACAATATAAGGAAGACATTACAATCACAATACAATTCAAGACAAGATGGTAAGGAGGGCCCTGCCCATGAGGGCTTACATTCTAAAAGGGAGGGGGAAGGGATACATGAGGAGGTGACTGTGTTCCTGGAGGAGGCTGTACTACAACACTTTGCACAAGCATGGTCCATGGCTATAATGAGGACGCAGGACCAGAGTAATGATGTGCAGCTGAAGTGCATGCATGCAGGAAATGGCTGAAAGTGACTCCGCAGCACTGAGATGGGCCAGACTTGCTTATTGGATTTGAAAACTGGGGGAAAAAAAAGAGCTTTTCTTTTGAAAACACAACATGGAGAGAGATATATATTTTATTTTAAATACTTTAAACACTGCTACATGTATCAGTAATTCAATTGAGCTCAACCCTTATTATTGCAACACCAACCATCAAACAGAAGTAAACTTTACAGTATTTACAAGCAAGGCAATGCCTAACATTCCCCCAGCATGATACAATGATGCTCCACAGACCAGCAATGGCTCCAGCTCCACCATCCTTCTTTACAGGCTAGGAACTGGGTCCCAATGTTCCCGCCTTCTCTGCTATTTCCAAAGCAGACTTCAAGTTCTGGTCAAACAGCTCACACCTAAAATAAAAGAAACATTTGTTGAGAATAATTACTGCAATAAAACAATTGTGGCTCAGTTTTGGTTAAAGTTCCAACTAAATACAAAATGAAATGGTGAACTTTTTAGCTTAGGACAAAATAGAAAAAAAAAAGGTCAGAAGCAGTGCGAGGTTCTCTATTGCTGCCCATGTCTGCACTGGGAGTGGAGCCTTTATATTCCGTGCTGTGTGAGGTTCTCGATTGCTGCCCATGTCTGCACTGGGAGTGGAGCCTTTATATTCTGTGCTGTGTGAGGTTCTCGATTGCTGCCCATGTCTGCACTTGGAGAAGAACCTTTATAGTCTGTGCTGTGTGAGGTTCTCTATTGCTGCCCATGTCTGCACTGGGAGAGGTTCTCTATTGCTGCCCATGTCTGCACTGGGAGAAGAGCCTTTATATTCCGTGCTGTGCGAGGTTCTCGATTCCTGCCCATGTCTGCACTGGTAGAAGAGCCTTTATGTTCCGTGCTGCGCGAGGTTCTCTATTGCTGCCCATGTCTGCACTGGGAGAAGAACCTTTATATTTCGTGCTGTGTGAGGTTCTCTATTGCTGCCCATGTCTGCACTGGGAGAAGAGCCTTTATATTCTGTGCTGTGTGAGGTTCTCTATTGCTGCCCATGTCTGCACTGGGAGAAGAGCCTTTATATTCCGTGCTGTGCGAGGTTCTCTATTGCTGCCCATGTCTGCACTGGGAGAAGAACCTTTATATTCCGTGCTGTGTGAGGTTCCCTATTGCTGCCCATGTCTGCCCTGGGAGAAGAACCTTTATATTCTGTGCTGTGTGAGGTTCTCTATTGCTGCCCATGTCTGCACTGGGAGAAGAACCTTTATGTTATGTGCTGGTCATGACAGGAAGTGAGAGGAAGTAAAAAGTTTGGCAACAAAACAGCACCCGCCAAAGGTGGCATTTTATTTTGAGAAGATTTCCTCCCACATCCTCTTGTATTTCCTTGTCAGGAAGAGAGGATACATCTCCCCAATAAAGACCAAAGAGATACAATATTATGACAAGAGTTACTAAACCTTCTAGTCTCATTTAAAAAAAAAAAACTTGACTGGAGTTCTACCTGTAAGTGTATCTGAAGCCAAAAACGAGAAAATTTTATATATTGCAGCTCAGCAGTGTTTACGTGAGGTGGCTGCATTCGTTTTTATTTTCTTCAAGCTTTTTTGTTTATTTTTACCTGGTGATCCTACAACTAACACTTCCTGTGCTTAGATTTTAGACATTGTCCAATAGGGAGTCCCACTGCACTCCTAACAGAGAAGCCCCATATATTGCGGGGGAAAAGTGCTGAAGTAGCCACGGATGGTGTCGCCAAGTACTCAAAATCACAGAATAAATGGTCACTAGCACACCAATACAAAATCTTTCTATTCGATGTAGCAGGTCATATCACCACGCGTACCTGTGCTGTCACAATAATTGCATAAAAATATGACAATGCATAGTCATAGTTATATTCATATTAATGTGAAATGAGAATCACATACTTGATTTTTCTTAAATGAGAACTATGGGGTTAAGGCTTTTCCCCATAGTTCTCCTTAGGGTAACGGGAGGACACAAACTAGCATCCTCCCGTCACCCTAGGCTCAGTATACCGCGAGCCGAATAGTTCTCCTTTAAGCCATGTATTATAGCAGTTGTATGGCTGGTTATTATACTGCCATCTTGTGGGCGTTTTGGTTATTGCACCATATTTTTCTGCATTTCCCCCCTTGTGTGTAATGTACCACTCTTCTTCTCAACTAGTCGTTTTCTGCTGTCATGGCTGCCTATAGCTGGGCCACATGTATATGCTAGCTTGGAAACATTATCATCCTTGACCTTCAAATATAGTCTGTTCGTTCATCTGCTGTATCCTGTTTGCTGCAAGTACTAAAGCACTTTGTGGATGAAAAGGTATTTGGTGAGTTCAGCTATCTGATAAGGATTATCGGCAGTAATTATATCTGCTTATACAGGCCAGGCATAGAGGTCTCAGCAAGGCATACATTGCTAATACAACAATCGGAGTCACAATAGTAGCAATGTTTTGGAACCTATCCGATCCCTTCATCAGGATAACAGAGTAAGGTGTCTCTGCTCAGAGTGAAGTCTCCCTGTTTGCCTGATGATGGGACCAGACAGGTTCTGAAACGCTGCTACGCGTGGTGATATGGCCTGCTACATCGAATAAAAAAGATTTTGCATTGAAGAATACTTGGGAGTGCTGGGGACCATTTATTTTCTTCTTAGATTTCCAACATGTCCGCCTTTGTGCATCTCCATTATGGGGGACGATGGTATTATAATCTTTGTGGTTTACACAAGAAAGGACATTGTTTGGCTTCAGATTCATCTCAAAGCATATGACAAGGACATCGAATTTCTGGTAACATTACCAGGTATTTTCTGTAACTGCCAATACTGATCTTAGCCTGAAAACTAATGCAGCCACCACATCTAAGGACTAGTAAGCTGCAATATATGAAATTTGTGTTCTTGGGTTTAAAAGCAGCAACAATAGGCAAGTGCTCCAAGTTCTCCTGTGGATATCAATAGCTTACATTACAAAAGAAACAAGCAATGAGAAGAAACAGTAACCATATAGATTTGGTAAAACTAGGATATCTCTAATACAATATTGGCTCACCAGCAGATTTTAGTACCACTGAAAATATATCATGTTCAGCCTGCTCAATGACATGGCTTTGCATAAAACAATTCCAATGAATAGGGATCTGCTTATTTCCTCACAAAGTCCACCCAATATAGGTGATTCTGCTAATAATTAACAACCCCTCCATCAACAAGCATGAATGTGAGCTGTCAGCACAAACGGCCACAGATAAGAAGTGATGTAACAGTGTGAACAGGGACAGAGGGCTTGTTCACAATAGAACGTATACACTGACATGTATTCCACTGAAGTATGTTTAGATGTTTTGCACTTAAGAATTCCATCTGAATTGACTTGAACAGTTCAACAGACATTCCGTCAGCTACCCCATGATGCTGCACAGACTCAAACAGTTTTCAATGCAGGACTGGGGCTGAATTGTACCCGGGACTTCAATCACTTTTCTCTCTGGTAGACAGACAGCAGCATGGGCTGGGCAGAGGATGAAATAACGAGGGCTGCAACTAATTATTATTTTCAGAATTCGATTAGTTGGCCGATTATTTTTTCGATTAATCGAAGAGGGAAAAATGTAATATATCCCATCCATAATTTAACATAAAATACACAAATGCCGTGTTACAAACAAAGCTTACTTCAGAATAAAACTGCATGCACAATTTTTTTGCAATCACACTGCACTGGAACGCACGGCATTGCGGTACCGTGCGTTCCAGTGCGGGCGATCATACTGTGGATGGGAGGCGTGTTTTGGGGAGCCATTGAAATTACTTTTTACGACGTTTTATAATTTCTTTTTAATAATTGTATTGTAAGCACATGGCGCTTGAATAGTTACAGCTGCCAGTGGCAAGATTACATAGACAGGAGCTGAATGAACATACAGCGGGTAATTGGGCGGGTGCAATAGCCAGCCGTCAAATTGCAATAGCCAATAGCAGGCTGGCAATTGCACCCGCCCACTACCTGCTGTGCCCTCCTCCCAGCATGGAGGAGAGAGCTAGGGGATCCAACCAACTAATCGATAATGAGAATAGTTGACAACTATCCTCATTATCGATTAGTTGGTTGCAGCCCTAGAAATAACAGGCATTGAATGGTCTTCTGCATCCATCATCCCTGTATACATAGTTAATACAGGGGTAGGTACACTCGGGCTCTCCAGCTGTGGTGCAACTACAAATCCCATCAGGCATCTGCCTTTAGGAGTCTTGTCTATGGCTGTCAAAGAAATGAATTGAGCCGTTTTGTGTTTCTCATTTTGCACAGACATACAACTCAAGATTTGGGTTCCAATGACATCTCTGTAGGGTTTATACATTGCTGCACAGTGTGCAGTTTTAGCTCCTGGATGAGGAAACATTACAGTCATGTGCCAAACAATGTCCTTACCTAATGGGCATTTCCAGGGAGTAAAATGGATTCTTGAGCGCATAGTCAGAATACAGTTCATAGATTTTGCGTAGTAATGTGTCTGTGCCAGCCTGGCGTGGATCAGACAAAACCATAAACTTTATACCTGCAGACAAGAAACAAAGAATTATAAAAAAAGGTCAGAAAAGACATCATATGTGGACGCTTTCTGAGTAAACTTAGCAATAGCTACTTGAAGCTGAACTCTAAGCAGATACAAAGACACATTAAAGCAGCTCTGCAATCATTTAAACATTAAATGTCTTTTCTGCACCTGAATTTGCCCAAGTATCAGCCTCTTGTACAGCAGGGCTGGAGTGCGAGGGGAAAAAGCAGCACAATGAGCCAATCAGTTCATGTGCTGACAAGAAGCATGCTGATAGAAAGAGAAAGCAGAGTGATCAGCTCATCATTGTGCTGCTTCTCCTTTCACTGTCCAGTCAGACCCAGGCTCAGAGGAAGTGGGTTGGTTGATGCTGCTCATCAGACCGAGGACATCCAGTGGCAGAAAAACAGTACTGCAGGGCAAAATATGGTTTTATTATTTTAGATCTTTGAATGGATTCTTTATTCTTATTTTATTGTTGGTTGGAGTTATGAGGACTGAGGTTTTAATCATGCTTCTATAGCTCCCAATGCTCACTGAACATGTGCACTGTATTACAGTATGTGACCACTGGCTTCCTGACATTTCCAGAGCAGTATGGAGAAAGCACAATCTAAAAGACATGAAGAGGTCCAGCTAGCTGTAGGATAATAATGACGACGGTTAGATCACGCATGCAGGTAGATTGTGGAAACATTCATTTTACTCTAAATGCTCAGAATATTTGGTCTTGTACTCATGGAAACTTCCTGAAGTATGTTCTATGGTATATTCCCCAATAAGGATACTCCTGAACTGGGGTTACATCATCTTACACTCCCCACCATTCATGTTTACAACCATGCTCTTTTCATCCTGATATAACACTGTGTGTGGTTACCTCCAGGAAAGAAATAGAAGGGTTGGGACGGTTCACTGCTCAGAGACACAGCCATCTAACAAAAGCTGCCATACACACATAATAACACACACAGTGATGAAAAGCATGATTCATTGGTATGAGAATATTATTATTATACAGGATTTATATAGCGCCAACAGTTAGACCCTCCTCGTCTGCCACTGCCGAGACCCTCCGCGTCTGCCACTGCCGAGACCCTCCGCGTCTGCCCATGCTAAAACCATCAGCATCTGCCCCTGGCGAGACCCTCCACATTTGCCCCTGGCGAGACCCTCCACATTTGCCCCTGGCGAGACCCTCCACATTTGCCCCTGGCGAGACCCTCCACATCTGCCACTGCCGAGACCCTCCGCATCTGCCACTGCCGAGACCCTCCGCATCTGCCACTGGTGAAACCCTCCACATCTGCCCATGCTAAAACCATCAGCATCTGCCCCTGGCGAGACCCTCCACATTTGCCCCTGGCGAGACCCTCCACATCTGCTGCATCCGCCGACTGGACCTGCTGAAGGTGAGCACTCACCCGTGTGCTGGCATGAAAGGAGCTGCCCATTGATGCGCGTGTGTGGATGACGTCCCAGGGATTAGACTGTGTGATGGGCGATTCTGGACATGTCATTATGATAAGCCGTTAACCCTGAGAGGGATTGCACCCTGGATATTGTTAAGGAGCGATCATTGGCCACATACCAGTTGGTAATATATAGCCGTATTAGTCCAGTAGACAAGATGTCAAAAAAGACAAAAACGCAGTATTGCAGTGTGCAATGATACCTTTCTTATTGGACTAACAAAATATATACAAGACAAGCTTTCGAGAGTGAACCTCTCTTCTTCAGGTCAGAAGCTATATATATATATATATAGCTTCTGACCTGAAGAAGAGAGGTTCACTCTCGAAAGCTTGTCTTGTATATATTTTGTTAGTCCAATAAGAAAGGTATCATTGCACACTGCAATACTGCGTTTTTGTCTTTTTTGACATCTTGGCTACTGGACTAATACGGCTTACCCATTATATATATATATATATAGCTTCTGACCTGAAGAAGAGAGGTTCACTCTCGAAAGCTTGTCTTGTATATATTTTGTTAGTCCAATAAGAAAGGTATCATTGCACACTGCAATACTGCGTTTTTGTCTTTTTTGACATCTTGGCTACTGGACTAATACGGCTTACCCATTATATATATATATATATGAGAGATAAGAGTGTCGCACAAGGGTGTACCGCTTGTGGTTTTATCATCAGAAGCTTCACTGGGATTTGCTGTGGTTTCGGTGGATATGGACTATTTGGACTTCTTTCACTTGGTGTATACAACTTTGAACTAATATTTCATATTGTGGAATATTTATGCTCAGTTGAAATTTGTTTATATTTTTGTGCAAGTATTGTTTGTTTTCACTCTTGTATGGGGACTGGAAGAATAGTAGACTTTTTGTATATTATCACAGAAATGGCTAAGGGACGCAGGACACCATTGCATTCCTTTTCAGGGTCTAGAGACACTGACATGAAGCCGCAATCTGGTAAAGCAGAATGAGATACACCAGATATCCATCAAGTCATGATGATACTTCACTGAAAACCAAAAAGAATACAATAATGCATGAAAACCAATTCCATTATGTCTATGGAACCACTTACCTGTCAGAGTCTGATAACAGTGCAGTTTGAATGTATCCGTTTCCAGCATTTCGATGCCAGAACTCCCCGGCTCTGGAGAGAGTTGGGATCCAATAGCAAATAACCTGGAATACAAGATAAAGGCTTCTATTCAGTTTTGTATGTCTTCACATTGGAAAGCACAAATTT